TGCATATCAGGGAGCCATTTTAGTCCCTTATTATTTCGCTGACAAGAGGTTTCCGAGGACCAGTCGAATGAATCGAGTGGAACAATTTGCGCATCCTTTGCATCTTCCATTTCTTCGGCCTTTCGGGTCCACCAAACTTCTCGGTCTGCGCGGACACTCAGTTTCACCTGGCGTCGGATGATGCGCCTGGTGGAGTTTTGGTGGCCGCCAGGGGGATCTGTCGCCGGGTCTCCAAAAAAGACATGGCCCTATCAGAGATCCAGTACTTAGATGAGGTTGGCTGGGTTGTACCGCAAGCAGACATTCCGGCTTTGAGTAGTGCTTGGGTATTTTTCCCAAGTAGCCGTTTATATCTGACACCGTACCGTCCGGCAGGCATTCGAGGAGCTGGTTCTGATAGTTTCGTTTGACTGCTGGGTCCACTAGCTTCTCAATGGCTGAGCGAGATGTGCGCGATTTGATTACACCTGAAAAGCGCAATGAAAAGCAGCAGCGTACAAGGGCATGGTCGGAGTCCACGCTGGTGTTCCAGAAGGAGCGGCAGGCGGTGATGGACCCTCGCCACCGATAATTGACGGCGATGTGATCTATTTGGATTCGCCACTGGTTTGTTGGTGTGCACCACGTTGTCAATCATTTTCCGGTGTTCCGGAAATTCGTACTGCGAAGAAAGTTTGTGGTCGCACATAACTGAAGTAAGCGTTCTCCGTTGTCCGTGCGTCTCGTGTCCAAACAAAGATGACCATTCAATCGGGCCTTAGCAGCGCTTAGCCTACTTACCTGGGCGTTCATATCACCAGCAACCACAATATCTGGGCTTTTAGACTGCTGTAGATAGGCACCTAGAGCGTCAAAGACAGGCTTTCGGGGTTTGAAAACAGACTTCGAAGTGTTTGGGGTTGTAACTGAACTCGGACGTGCAGACGCTGCAGATGAGTGTGATGCACGGCGAGCAAAACGATCAGTCCTGAAGCTGGAACATGCGGAGAAAGTATTCAAATTTGGGCAAGATAGGGTGAAAGACGGGAAACGTGAAGGTGTAAGAAGGGAGACGTCAGCAGTAGCATGTTTTCGCTTACCCGCCCTGTTGTATGCAGCAAGTACGGCGACCCGGCTGATGGCACCACGCGACGGCCGATGTGGAATGAGAGTATTTTTAGCCGTGTATGTCATCGTTGTACGAGGGCTGAGATACTGTCAGGGCGCCCACAGCCAGACAGGACGATTAGGGTTCTTAACCGAAGCCTTTGTCTCAAAAGCCTAACCACAAGGCGGCGGTGTTTGGCTGGAAGTGCAAGTACACTACCATTTTCACGGAACACATCGCTATAGATGTTCCAACCCCCAACCTGGAGGGCCAGAAGACTGTGTTCGTTAGACCTCTACCCATGAGCCAACCTGGTATGAGAGACTCTGTGAGTGTCGTGCGGATACCCCCCCCCCAATGTCTTCGTGACGGGCTACCCAAAGTGAACATGACCAGAACCTCAGATTCTTCTGTGAAGTAATGAAAATATGAAATTATCCTTAACTGCAAAAACAGCATCATAGAAGCTAAAGAATACGCCCCCTTGGTTATGAAGTCTCTGAAGGAATTATGAAACTACACTCCACAACTTCTAGCGCCTCTTCTTGGGATGTAAGTGGCGTGTTCCGTGACTGCATGTCCAGGAGCATGACCTAAGCGTCTGGCGGGACCTATGTCGGCGCGACAAACAGACACCGTTTACCGTATCGACCTGCAATGATTTTACTTGAGCCAGACAATCATACACCACAAAGAAGCCTGTAGGGCACTTTGAGCCCTGGTGCTGAGTTCAATTGCCACACCAAAGATAACACGATTCAATGCGTCAGGATCGCCAGATACAAAAAAGGGTTTCGTCCTGAGCGGCCTCAGGTGCACGACCGATGTGGGTCTTGTAAGTGTTTCGGAGATAGCATACATTGACACATTTGGAAAGCTAGGTTTCCCCAAAATATGATGTTTCCCGATTTGAGATAGTACGGAAGTTGACGGCTGCAACGTTGGTAAGATGTTTTGAGGTTAGTTAGTGATTCTTTTCGTTTATTATTCTGGTCGATGATTTAGACAAGAAACACTGACCAAAGGGCGGGCAGATTGTTTGATCACTCTCCGTAAGTGGCCGGCATGTATTGAGCGATTCAGATGTCTGTAGCCTAGGCATTTTACCGTCATAGAAATTTCAACGAACCCACAGTCATGGCGAGGACCGTGGCTGTTACGGATTTGATACGATTCTGTGAATGTTTATAAGGTGAAAATGAAAAGCAAGGATGCTAAGGCCAAGCTGTTTAAAACCGTGGCTCATTTCTTCTGATTCTAAGCAGAATTATGCTGCACAGACTCGAGGAATGAGGCATCATTTTCGAAAACTGAGTGACAAGTTTTAAATCAATTGAAGGACTTTGTTTCGAAATTGACTCAAGTTCGTTTGCTAAATCGTGAGCGGCTCATGCTAACTAAATCTGTTCAAGCTTGCGTAGTGAGTGGAATACGATACAGTCCAACGTCGCCACAGAAATTCCTAGCTAAAAAACTTACTTATCAAGTTCTCCAGGACGCTCATTTGAGGCAGGTCACCGACAAGAAAACAGCTACACTTTGCAAGCGACGGCACCGATTCTGCATTTGTGATTGGTCAGAACTCTAGTCACCCCAGTGGGTGATCAATCCAATCAATCGAAATGCAAGGCTTCAGGTCCACGGTGAAAATCTAAACGTCTTTGTTCGTACCATGGTGGTTGATAAGAAAATGATTCAGTTCTTGGTGGCCCAAAGATCTTTGTAACTCGGCTGTTTGGGCTTTTTATGTTAACGTACCATATTCTCCAACTGAGTTATTCCATGAAAGGATTTTTTGAACAGTTCTCGCGGAACCCACTGTGACGGCCGATCTTAAAAGGCACATTCAAAATTTCTCCCGAAATATACTTCGAACGTAGGGACTTAACATAATAGCTACATTTGGCGTTCTTCATCCAAAGCCGTAAAATCTGGCACGAGGATCAAAGTTTTGTCCAAAAAAATTAAACGCACTCAAGGTCTATTTTGAGCTTTGAATCCACATATTTGTAGGCTGTCGTGGCTCACCCTAATTGGCTTGTTAAGGTGTTTAGAGATTTTGTGGACAATTTTGTTTCCCCATGTTCCCTTGTCTTGTTACATTTGAAAATATTTTGAAGTTAAAATTTAACGTCATCTACGTCGTAGTTATCCGCATGGATGTTAAGTGGCCCAAGTATCCACGACTTGCGTGCGAGAAAATTTTATCGGTTACTTCTGCTGCAGACTCTCAAATTTCACATTTTCAAAAATTACTCTGTTGTCTTCGCGAGCGCCTACAATCAATCAGTTAAGCCAACTTGCACATGTGGTGTTTTGTATCCTTTTACTTTCATTAAAGCTTTACGTGTTTCATCAATTGTATTGACGCCTTGGGTTCAAATACGATAAACTAGAAAAGAGCGCAATTGTACAGTTATACGCAATACAAAACTTGGTCACATGCTTCGACTTCCTCCTCCGATTTCGCTCGCGCTTACAGCGTCATCCGCGTGTTTCTTGCGGTAGTTCTGGTAACAAAATCTCATTATATGCGGGAACAGTTCAAACGAAGACCCCTGGATAACCATAAGTGGATTATTACTCATTCGCTGATCTTGGGCAACGACGAACTTTTTTAAAGGGATCAATTATTATTGAGACTGTCCCATCTGACCTCCTTATTATTGTATACTCAGTCTTGCGTTACTGCTTTTATCTCTTTACCACACATTTCGGGTGAAGTTGGTTTTTGGGCAGTCACGTCGCTACAAATTTGGTGGGCCTGAGTCTTCCCCTCGCCCGGTTTTTGTAGTTTTTTCTTTTGCCCGGTCATTGTGGATACCCACTGCGATTCTTCTGATTTGGTTGGCAATATACTTTGGATCCACAGTTACCAACCCCATGCTTTCTACTATGTGGCAACTTCAAACAAGGTTCAATGACTTGACCGGATCGTCTACAATGACTCGAGATCAACACGCACCGACGACGCTCAAGATCTCCACGGTTGTTACGTTCCCGCCCCGCTATGTGTCGGCATCACAATCTTTCGGTCCCAAAGCACGCAAACGCCAACCGCCTTGTTGTTCCAAGCCGCGTTCCAACAACCCGGCCAGTCAGTAACGGCGGCGACCGCCTGTGACCCTCCTCGCACTAGTCGCCTATTTCACCCTCAAATGGTCTACGTTTCCCGGCAGACACGGGAGCTGAATTTAATGTGCTACCGCATAAGAACCTGCTTTCTGACTCCGCTTCTTACACGTTGAAGGTTGCGCGGGAGTGATTCTCTCCTCTGCATGATCTACCACTGCTCATTAGGTCTATCGGAAGCGAACCGATCCCCCATACAACCCCTCGAGCAACTCTCCACCTACCGCTTCACAAGCCTCTTGCTGGTGTGTGATCTTACCGCCTCAAAGGCCTCCTGGGTGAAGCTTCAGCGCGTCCGGTCTGGTGGACAGTCTGCAGCGGCGTTGACCAAAAATCGGTTAACGTAGCCCTCGGACTCAGAAGGTCGTCGCATCCGCAGATACATCGCAGGTAATCTAACATCCGTCCTGGATTCAGTTACCACCAGTGAAGGCTACCTTATCGATCAGGTGTTAATTAACACTCCACTGAGTCATAGCGACCACTGCGTGATGATCTTTTATTTCATGAGCCACTGGGCCAGAAACCTTGAACTTCGAACGTGGATTCGGAGCTTCCGCCGCGCAGAAACCTCAGGAATGGGAGTCTTTATTGAGCAGTTAAAAATGGGCCCAACTCCACTGGAACAGTTAAATAGGATCGTTGTCCAGACAGTTCACGAGGTGAGAGCGGTGTTCATCGCGAGAAGACAGTAGACGGTCGAATGGACCTTAAGCCACCCTAAATGATTCGGCGTCTTCTGGAAACGGGGCCGCAAACATTGTTCAAAATGTTGGCTATACGAGACACAGAAGCTGAGCTGGCGTTTCATGAAATACGGAAACGCTGAAATCAGAAATCCGCAGTCGGAGCATAAGAAAGACAGTCGCCATATTAGAACTTACCTGGAAAAACCAAAAATTCGGCGTATACGTACACAAAGCATTGCCGAAGAAACAAGCCAACACAGTTCTGATGGAAGGACAGGACCTGAGGCCCCACGAGTAACGCGGTATCTGAAGTCTAAAGAGAGTGCCATGCAGAGCTCTATTCTGTCCTAGTGGTCTCATCACACCCAATCCTGTCAGGGCGTAACTACGAACGGCCTCTAAACAACTTGGTCTTCACAGATTAGAACATTCGTTAACTCTTGCACAAGGAAAATCCTTCATAAGCATTGGGACCGGACAAGGTTCATCCATGGATACTGAAGGACGCATCGTTCATACTGGCAAAGAATTTCTCGTGGGGTTTCGTCAGTCGCTCGATGAACGTAACCTTTTATTTGTTTGAAAGAAAGCGATTATCATACCAATCTACATAACCGGCGACCGACTATCGTTCGGAAGCCTCTTGGCCTCTTTAACAAACCATGAAAGCTGATGGAAAGCATTCTGAAGTGTACCATTTTAAGCCACCTCACTAGCAAAGCCTTGGTATCCATTGTCCAACACGGATTTCTTTCAAACTGTTCTTGTGTGATAAACATGACTGAACAGCTTCACTCAAGCTAAAGACAAGAGACTCTTACCGAATGCAATATTTTCGACTTCTCAAAAGCAATCGATTGCGTTCCATACGAACATCTGCTCCACAACCACGAGGCTTGCGGGATACAAGGGAAAATTCTGCGCTGGTTACAAAAAGAACATTCCAATTGACAATAGGCTCCCCCACTCTTCTCCGGCGCCGACCCACATTGGAGTCCCGCAGAGCTCCGTTTGTGAACACTTCTGTTTCTGGTCTTTGACAAAACTTCCCAGAAGTTTTATCAAGACCATGCTTACACTTGCAGGTGACATGAAATCCTGGAGTTCGAATGCTAGTTACTTATCGAAATCGATATAGACGCTGAATTGCAGTGGTCGTCAGACCAACACCTTCCTCTGAATGACGAAGGGTACGTCCACATGTTGGCCGGAAGGGGCTCTGCAAACGACTTTGTCGTGCATGGTGAGGTTGAACAGAAGACAATACGAGGATGGATACCAAATATGATTTGGGTATCTGGCTCTTGTCAAACCCGTCATTGTCATTGCACCATAGGAATTCGGCTCGAAAGACATTCGCCGTTCTACGGGTGATTTGGTGTAAATTATCCCGCATTACTCCGACAGGCTTCCGAACGCTCAATTGGGCCCACGTCAGACTGCTTCTTAAATATGCCAAACACTTTGTCTACTCAAGACGCAAGATAAACGTAAGCCTCATTTGGTGAATCCAAGGAGCTGCTATGAGGCGCGTCTCGCGGTGTTTCACCTTTTTCCCTTGGAGTATTATCGACTCCGAGAGAATCTAATGGTGACTTTCGCTCTGTTGAAACAAGGGTTGGCGAGTGCCTCTTTCTCTGTTGATCCAACCAACATACGCCAGGAACATGCTAAGATTTCCAAATATAGATGGCACACGTTAATTAGCCAGATACGCTTTTCTTTTCGGGTGGTCGCTGCGTGGAATAACCTTCCTCCGAATGTTGTTCACGACGAATCAGGTACCTAATTTAAAACACTATTAGACACATATTTCAGTCGCCACTATATTCGAGATATCGCGATATATACAAATTGTGGGGTGTTGAAAACAACTTGACAGCCCATGAGCAGGTTGGCCCTTCTTGGGACTCACCAAATAGGTGCAGTCCCCAAGGTTTCATCAACATTATGTCCTATTTGAAACCGAATTGCATGACGTTAGCAAATATTCACTCATTTACAAATTAATTTGGATTTCCGAGAGACTCACCTGGAACCCGACCGAAGCTCTCAATAAGGGCGAAACACATCGTGGGCTGTGGAGGAATTTACAGCAACCTTATGAGTGGTGCATTACAAAATAAATGTATATTGCTACATCTCGAATATCGCAGCGACTGAAACATAAATCGGCCTATTACAGCAAATTCAGTTGCCTTGAAACACCAAAATCGAGAGATTCACCTAGGTTCAAGACGAGTATCTCGAGAAACCAAATTAATTTGCAAATGAGTGCGAATTCGCTAAGTTCGTGGAAGTTGAATCCAAGTAGAATGTAAGGTTGACGAAAGAACGGGGGATGCGATCACATCACGAATCCCAATAAGAGAGAAAATGTCGCGGACTTTTCAGAAAACTTAAGATTAGTGCATTAAAAAACACTATAAGATATACTCTTATGCGAGTCCTCGCGCTAGACGGCTCACCGCAACAAAATGTAAACTCTAATGAGCGACACTATAAAACATATCCGATTGTGTCTTTCAGGGGAACGGCAGCCGCTAAACGACGAGAACAG